ATGATATCAAAAAGTCCACTACCGGTCAAAATCTCCAAAACTTAGACTTTCGCCATTTCAAGCCTAAATGAGCTACAGACCTCCAAAATACTATTCGGATACGCCCCTAAGTCCAAAATTACCTAACGGAGCTAACAGAACCGACAGAACTCCATTCTGGAGTCGTCTTCACATAGTTTCGACTACAGTTCAAATCCTAAGGCTTAAACTTCCATTTAGGGATTAAGTGTCCCAAAACACTCCAAAACCAAAACGAACCCTCTCGACAAGTCACAATAGCAGAAATAGGTATGGGAGAAGTAGTTAATAAGGGATCGAAGCTATAACTCTCGAAACGACCGGCCGAGTCATTACAATTGCTCACAAAATCATTATTGTCTTGACGATCACTGGTATCTTCCTCTGGATGTGCACCATATTTGTCTTCGCTTGCATCAAACTATTTTTTTAAAAAGGATACAGTAAGTTAACCAAAAAAATAAAAGGAAATTCATAATGAAAAAGAAACACATACCTTAAAATTTATCAACTCAAAGACTTCATTGAGTTTATCAAAAATATATTCCATGAAGGATTTTAACTACTTATGGAGCTACAAAAGGAAACAAATAAGAAAAATAATAGACTTTGAATATACATTTTTAACANCTATTACGTGATGTCAAATATTTCTGATACTTATCGTTAACTTCAACAGGCAAAGTAAATCTCCTTAGCTCTTCACTTGTAGGAGAAATATTTTTAAACTTCAAATGTAACAAAAAATGCTTCAGTCCTAGATGTATCAAAGATGTATAAAAATTATATATTTGATGTATCACAATGAATTACAGTGTATCATATATGTATAGCCCATCAATACATAAAAGCTGGTACCTTATTCCATGTGCTGTTGAAGAAACCAGTAGAGAAGTTCTCACGCGTTGGCCTGTCTGTTATTTCCTAATTCAATATGTCTGGTGTATGATCTCCAATGCGAACAACAAACTTTTGATCAACTACAATGCAACATTCATAGAACCACACATGTAGTGCAAGAGGAAATCCACCAATCCTATAAAACTCAGACTTTCCCTCAACCTGTCCCTCACCGATTTCATTAAAGCTCGAAACACAATCTTAACCTAGAGAAAGGACACATACTCACCACTCTCGACATGATGGAAATCACGTTTACTTATAAATGTCTTCTGAGCCTGAGTGGACATTAGAAATGAGTTTATGAAATAAATTATTGCAATCTTAATTGCGTCTTCATCAGACTGCCATTTCTTCTTCTCAAAACAATCAATAAGCGACTTCTTTGACACCACTTCAAAACCAGAAAAATAAGTATCCACCAACCTATTGGGTCCACTGAAGTTACCCTCAACATATTCATTGCCACAACAGTTTAAACCACTTACAACACCAAATTCCCGAAGACCAAAACGTAAAACACATTCGTCATTCAATTTCACATAAAATTGATCACACTTATCTTGAACCAACTCCCTAAACATTAAAGAACGAATAAGTTGTGCCTGGATAGCAACTCGAGGTAAATAAAGGAAATAGCCAAAATAGCTTTTCCTAAACATCCGAAGCTGGACATCAGTCAACTTTTACTGTAAAACTGATACGATGTCCACATTAGTGTATGATGTCCAATGAGTAACAGAAAACGGCTCACCAACTGAAATATAAAGCTTTCAAGGCTACAAATAAATAACACAAATTAAAAACAAATAAATACAAACTAAATCCAATTTTAAAAGAAGATTCAGCAATAGAAAAAAATATAACTGTAATTGTATGTACCTTACAAACTTTGTCAGAAATTTTAACTTTTTTTGCCTTCTGAACCTTACCTTTTTTTTTTTTTTTGGTTTGACACCCAAATTCACTTCGTTCTCCACGACACATTTCCTCTTACCTTCAACATCATCCACTCTAATCCTTTTGCTCTTCTTTTTCTCAGATTGTCCAATAACATCCTTTCGAGATTCTAACACTTTTACACTGTCGGAACGATTTTGTCTTCCTATATTTCATTCATCAATCGATTTTTCAGCTAAAACAGGGGTTGAATGAGGAGATAAACTCATCGACCTAGTTTCTCTAGTCATGTTGCTTGATTTCTCAATTGAAACCGACTTTGAATAAGGTGATGAACTCATCGAACGAGTTTGTCTTATCATATTGCCCTATTTCACAATTGAAACTAGGTTCAATGAGAAAATTTTAAAAAAGAATTATATGAACAAACGGTTACAGAAGTTTGTGAAGAAATTGATACAAAACTCGACCAAAACTAACAAAATCATCTATAACAGATACATACAATGAACTCTAACTAAACAATTCAGTCGCAAATGCCAAAAAAAAAAGCAACATCGCTTCTCCAAAAATACATGCAATCCGAAAAAATATACAAAACAAGAGATTTTCTACTCCAAATTATCTGGAATCAGACAAAAATAACCGCAAATGTTTCTTGTTTTGTCGTCAATTTCAGCAATTTTGGTTCAATTTAGCAAAAAATCGCATAGAGAAAAAGAGAGAGAGAGAGAGTGAGAGAGATAGAGTGAAAACTCGGTGTCTGTATTACAAAAATAACGAATACAAAAAAACTGACATTAATTGAAACTATTTGGGCCCAAAATGATATTTGAGCCTCTTTTAGTAGATATTTTATTTTGGGCTATTTTTGGAGGGAAAAGTTTATAGAGTGATAGTTTGAGTAATTTTCCCAAAATAAAAAAAGGTAGTATAACGCTATACGTGTCTTGGGTAACAGTCGTTAGCTAAGTCGAACAGGTATAGCGCGCAATACTCCCTGCCCTATACCTCCCATTTATTTCAAACGGTCACCTCCACTTTCCCTTCCGGTCAATGATCCCCTCGTGTCCTCCATTGAAGCCCGATTTTGGAGCTTTTCTCACTCCCAAATTATTTTCACTTTATAGATTAATTTAAAACTCAAAATGCGTGGCATATTGATGACGTGGAACAAGCTAATGGGTCCTAATTTGATGAAACTTAGGTATGGGCCTGGGAGAGATTATTACCGGCCTGTTCAGTTCGATGATGCACCATCGTTACCCTATGCGAGGAAGTGGGTCGACACGTCAGAATATTTATATTCAATTTGAAAATTTAATAATTATCTATCTTGTGTAACAGTTGGTATGGACGGGAAGCCTTACAACGATGAGCTCATTGCTGGATTAATTACCAGAGTTTTGGTATCGTGGTCGACGTATGTGGATGGCAGATGTTCCACTCCTCTGCCTGCATATTCTGAAGCATCACACGGTCGACAGTCTAGATATGTTCCAGCTCCTCCCAGTTTGACACTTACACAAAAGCCTTGAACATAACGTTGAAAAAAGAGCAAAGGTTTTCCAATAAATACTTTACTAGATATTTCAGAGGAGTGACATGCTCAAGTATTATTGACTACAAATTGCAACCTCTAGCTGCCACTGGCTCATGAAGTATACTATCTTTTCTTTCTCTAATTAAGAAGAGTGAATTTCTATTTGGATTTGTAGTTTCATTGCTTTGTCTATAAAGACTAGGGGTGTTCGTCGGTCGGTATGGTACGATATTTAGATATTTTGGTTCGATATTTTCGGTATTCGGTTTTTTAAAATACAATACCAAAACCGTACCTAATTAGATTCGGTATGGTTCGATTTTTCTCCTTTCGGTTTATTTGGTTTGGTAACTTCGATTTATTCGGTTTGAATACTAACTTGTGCATAGAGTCATAGAATGTAATATTCTAAATTAAAGTACTCAAAAGTATAAAATTAAAAACATTTGTTCGTAAAAGTTTTGTCCAAAACTAGCAAATATCAACCCAGAGAGAGAAAACTGTACATAAAAGAATAAATTTGATCATTAGAAATGTCTTGTTACTTGCTTAGAGTTAATTGATCAACTTAGAGAATAACGAAAAATAAAATTTTAGATTTTTATATTTATGTTATAATTAATAATATGTGTATTGTAATATAATATATATTTCGGTACGATATCGGTATTTCATTTTAAAATACCAAATATCATACCTAATACCAATATTTTTTAAAACTTAAATCAAATACCATACCGAATACCAAATACCAAAATTTTCGATTTCGGTACGGTAATTCGGTATTTACCAAATTATGCACAACCCTAATTAAGAGTTGCTTTTCATGTGGCCCACCAAAAATAAATTAGGAGTATATTATAAGTAGTGGTGACAAAATAGTTAAAAGAAAACAGTTATCCACCCATATTATCCATTAAAAATGGTTTGGATAATTAACATTTAAAAACGGGTCAAATATAACCATAATATCCACTTAGAAAATGAATAACCAATGGATAACTAATGAGTTTAACTTTTAGTCTTTTACATTTGTAAAGCCTCAAATTGGGGTTCCATACAAGTATGGGAGAAGTATGGGAGACTAGGAATTCTCCCAAAAGTGATCATATTTAAGAAATCATGGATAATATGGATAACCTGCCGGTTAACCCGTTTTTTATCCGTATTAAATATGATTCGGGTCGAATAATTTATTCGTTTTTGCATGACTCGTTTTAGACATGTTCCATATCCGACCCGACCCGCATATTTGCCATCCCTAATAATAAGTAATATTTTTAGTTATACCAGATTTTATGTCATGTTTCGTATGATTTAGCAAAGAGAAAAAAAGAGAACATTGACATAGAGTTGAGATGAATGTAGAAATAAAAAATTCTTTTGAACCCGATTAGATTTTCATTGAATTAATAACATCTTGATGTCAAGATTAATTGAATGTGGGCACATAACCCCAACACACCCCCCAAACCCCAAAAAAAAAGGTCTCGCAACGTCGTTTCCTCTTTAAGTAATTCCCTCTCTATGATTCATAATCTTCCTAATGCATTACGATCCTTAATATGATCTAAAGTTTGACTATTAATTAGGTTCCTACAACCAGTAATAGAACAAAAGCCTTGAACATAGAGCTGAAAAAAGAGCAACGGCTTTCCATATAATGATACTCTTCAGGATTATAGATTACAAGTTGCACGCTCTAGCTGGCTCTGGTTAAAATGATCATTACATGTGATTGCTAAAAGCATAAAATTTGACAAGAAGGTTACCATGCTAATGCATGACTATACTTCCTAAATCCTAGGAGGACCATAGCAATTGATGATTCTCAAACACTGCAAAAAGCTTCAACAGCCAGACTTTTTACTATTCCTGGACAGGGGTCACCAAACTTAGCTGTGCTGATAGGAATAAGACATCCTGGCTTGCCAACACAATCCTGCAGTCATTCAAATTTAAACACGTGAGGTCACATTTTGACTAGTTAAAATTCAATGCTGAGGGCGGTGTGGCGGAGTAAGAGGCTCTGACAAGGGGATTCAAAAAAATGCATAAAATGCCATACCTAGAATTCGAACCTACAACCTAAAGCAATAGCAAAGCCACCTTTGTCACTATACTAGAAGCTTCGCTTATGTCAAGGGAATTCAACAATATATATATAGGCAAAAAATGATTTTAACCTATTTGGATAGTATAATTTCTGACAAAGGGGATTCAATTGAACACCTTTCGGACCATGTAGCTCAGCTTCTTATTGAGGGGCAACAGAGTGGGCTTAGTTCAGGCTTTGAAGGACAAAGTTTGAGCAGCATAGGGGGACTTTCTGGAGTCATCACCAGTATTGCACAAGTTATAAGGATATATTAGTATTACCTGATGAACTATTGATAACACATCCAAATGACAACTCCCTATAATGAATGCTCCACAATCTCCTTTAGGAGTTCCAAAGCTAGCAAAGTTAAGTGCAGTGATATTCCATCCTTGTTCACAACTCAGTCGCAATGATGCAAGATCTTTATTAGGCTTCCAAGTATCAACAGGTGGAGGATCAGACTCAGATACATGACCACAAATATTTTGTCCAATTCGCGATGAGAAAGATATCTTTGAAGGGTCACCACCAAGTTCTTCATGCAGCACAAGCAGGTTCTTTCCAGGGGTTAACCAATTGCGGGGTACATGGTACCTATTTGAAGATTTAATTGTTAGTATGTAGTCCACACTGTTGTACAATTCTTCACCATAGTAAACGAAAGGGGAGTTACACTGTAGCCAGTGAATGGAACAATCAAATAAAGCTCATTTCCTTCAATCATCTTCCAGTGTAATGTATACCAAAGATTGTTTACTCTTTAGAATAAGAAACCAAGGGGTACTTTTTTCCTTTGTGACTATAAGATGCTAGTTAAGAGTATTAACCATCACCAACTTGTCTATAGGGAAAGGGGTGCAATCTCTCTACCTTTGCCTTATGAAGTAGACATCAGATAGAGCAATAAGGAGCAGATATGCAAAAGGGGAAACGAAAAAGGAAAGAAAAGCTTTGGACTAGCCATTGCTATCGACTCACAAAACTTGAGCAGGTTGACCACATTTCTTCAGACATTTCCATGAATTATAAGCTCCTCTATAGTCACAATTATCTGAACAGCCAGTTGAGGGTGAACGATAAGAAGACCAGTATCTCCCTACATGCTGCCCGTTTACCCATGCTTGACCTTTACCCATACTGGAGAGATTTAGCGATACAGGACCTTTTCCCTCTGGAGGAGAAAAGCTAGCCTGGAAATAAGAAATCCAGAATCAAGACAAGAATACAACAGATGTAACAAATTACTACCTTTGTTTATCAGATGGTAATTGCAAATAAAGGGACTACATAGCAAGAGAATAAATGAAGCTTGAAGGGCACAGATTCTATATGTGGCATAAATCAACACTAAAATTAGCATTGAGGACATATACAAGAAGCAACTAATGGTCTCTCTAGCCTTCTCTTTTTCAGTTATCATTTATCCAGTGGACTATTCATTAGTAATGAGCTTCAAAAGGATGACCATAGACATGAAATAGCTAGCTACATGTAGCACCAGCATAGGCATTATCTAGCACTCTATTCCTCGAAAGGAACCTAAACGATAAGCAGTTGATACGAAACAAGTGAACCAGAAATACAAGCAATTCCACACACCTTGTACCATATCAAACTCTGATTTATTGGAACAGAGTTCCCCTGAATCCACAGCGAGTTATTTGCAAGACTAACTTTATCAAGTCCAAGGTACTCACCTTCAAGTCCTACCTGAAAATAAGCAATCAAGTCTCATGTTATCCTTGTGATCTTACAACAACAAAATCACAACCTTATGAAATCACAGAGAAGACAACAAATCATCCCCCCTCCAGCCCCAAGAGGATCCGGAAAAAGAAAAAGGAATTCTGCAACCAACATGTACTCTCTCCTCAGCAAGCTTGTTTTCGTAAATATAGGAGGACCATGAAATAAGACAATGCATTTCCTCAATCAATTGATGATGTATCCCCTTTCCATCTTTTGGTTGAAGCAGAGTGCTGACCTCAATTTGTATGGTAGGAGAACACTCAGTTATCAGAAGCTAAATTTGTAGAATTTCTTCCTTAGAGGTACTAGCGCAACTCTTTGTATTGGATTTCAAAGTGTTCTATGTTGTAATCTCATTGAGTAATTTTGAGATGCATTAAGTGGAATTCGTATACCATTAGCTATGCTGCTTTTATTATGCCTTTTCACGAAGTTTTCTAGTGAGAAGACATTCGAAGCAGTTTCACCTATCTATATTAGATTTTCACTGGAGTTATTTATATGTCTAAAATAATAGTTAGAGAAGGTGAAGTCATATTTAAATGAGAAAGTATATCAACCCTGCATGACATAAACATAATCTGTGGTGGAAGTAAAAGTTTACTGTAGACCACTGTTAGCTTAGAGCCCATAATTTGGTCTTTTTCTACTTTTGTTTCCTCAACTTCAATACAAAAGTATCTTTGTTGAAAACTCATTAAATTCAGGCAACCAGGTGAGTGTGAGAAGAATTCAAGACAGTTAATCATAAAAAGATTTATTAGTCAAAGTAGTCATCAAGAACCTGGTAGATCCATTCCGTAGAAGAAAAGTTCTTGTTACTCTTCAAATCGCTGAAGATAACAGAAAATACCCCTGCTCCGGAGATGTCAAACCATGGTCCATAGTTCTGGAGAATCACATAATAAATGAGTAAGAAAAAATGTAATCAAAGTGGAAGCGGTAAGAGATATGCTTCAACATGCAAAGCATTGGAAAAGCCTCTAACCGAGATAGACGACTTTACCTGCAGACCAACCATCATGCTTAATATGTCCAATGTATTGTTTCCTTTCTTAAGATGGATTGCTTTACTTAGAACAAAACTTGCATCATCGTGATTACCGTAGCCAAATCCTACAGAAGTAGAAATATGCCGTTAGCATCACTTTGGAACTTTTGGCTGTGTCATTAAACACACTTGAAGAAGTAGACATTAGATGGGATAGTTACCAACTGGTTTCTTGTTTACAAAAACAAGAGCTGCATGTCCCAAACTTCCAATAATTAACTGCAATTCTTTTGTTTTTCTCTTCTTAGTGTTCTCCTCCACATTTATACTGGCAATAAAGAAAAAGCCACTTAGAGATATACATGAATGGAGTAAACAGCTTATCACATCAAATAAATGATTAAGTTACATATAGCAGTATCACCATCTTCACTTACTAGCTATCCCCGAAGCAGCTTCTTAAGCAAAGAAATATAAATTAGCAGCACTAAGTGAAGGAAATATAATAAATTACCTTGTAGTATACCAAAGGAAATCGCTGGTATCCTTTGTTGTATTTATCTGCTCCACTAAGCGGGATGCTGCGAACGAATTATTGTTCCAGATACCAACTTTTTCTTTGTACCAGCCCCAAGGACCTGACTCCAGTGAATTTTCAATTGTAACTGTGTTGTGAGTAAAGGCTGTACTTCCAGTTGTTTTTTGTGAAATAACCTTTCTCCGTCATGAGTAAAAGGGAAAACATTATGTTAGATAGCAGTAGCAGAACTTAAGGCAGAATAGATTTCAGTAAAGCTTCTTAAGGGCGAGTTATACAATCATAGTTTCATGTTATAAGCAAGGTGATCAGGATATACTATGCATTTGTATTGGCACAACTAATGAATAGAGTTTAACTACTGAAGTCTATCATTGCTCGTACAACGCCATAATAACACCAGAAATTAAAGATCGTTGAGGGGGTCCTCCAAACAGAATATAAAAAGCAACACTGGAGTGGGAAAAAAATGTATGTATGTGAATGCAGTACCTTAGCGGTGTTGAATATGACATTCTTACAGTCTGGTAGAATGCTAACAGACCAAGCAGGAAGAAAATATGACTTCCCATTAAATGTGACATTTGCATCTGAACTGCTACCATAGTTAGCAAGAAAGGCTGCACAGTCATTGGAGGTTTTGTAATATACATGTGCCTGGTAGACATTTCTGATGTGTCAAACTTAAAAGAAAAAGTGACGTTGATCCAACACAAAAAAATATAGTTATTCATAGTCAAAAAGACTTCTGAATTGATCAAACTTTTCCAAATAGCTAGATTCTATAGATGAGTTAGGCACAAGGTCCATTTTCTTCACAACTTTTAGAGAAGAAGTTGGGTTAAGATTCAATTATCATTGTTATCTGGATTTGATCTATTAAACAGCTGAAATCTGGAAAAGTTGTATACCTCAAGTTTAAAACCAAGGGACAAATGAGTTGGATCTGCATTAACCAAATACTCTTCGCAATGTTTTAACGCCTTGTGCAAGTCGCGCAGGTGGCCCCACTTTGGCTGACTTATGAAACCTGCATCAAGTTCCTCCAATAAGATTGATAACCTCAAAGAGGCAGCTTTAAAATATGCTTTTAGATTAAGATGTTTCCTCTTATTAGCAGAAGTCATTTCCAAGTCAGTTAATGGAGTAAGCGATATGCCTAATTTTCTATTCTAATATGGAAGTTTCAAAAGAGACCTTAGGAGAATCCCTGGATGATTAATCAGTTTCTCCTCTTTACTCACAGATAAGAAAAGAAAATGCAGAGTTTGGTCCGTCTACTTCTACGTGAGATCCCCCACGAGGCATGCTTCTACTTTAGTGAAGAAAGGCTCAAATGAAAAAAGAATGTATTAAATTTCTAATTTAGATGAGTCTTCTAATACTAAACTTCTGATTTATTATTCCAAATCGCTAACATATTCATCAGAAAGTTTACCTGACCATTAACATGTCACTTTGCGAGCTATATGTATGTCTAAGACTGCCCTCTTCAAGGAGGAGATCATAGGCACTCAAGGCACGCCTTCGCACCATGGTTCTTGCACTGAAGTAACCACCAAAGTGAGGCGCATTGCTCAAACTGCAATGCACCTAGCATTGTAGGATGTGAAAATAACAGGAAGAGTAACAGCCACTACAGGAAATAAGGTTCTCAGTGACAACCTCTTTAGTTGCCATGCAAAGTAAGTGCCGAGTTGCCACAATAAGTTATGGTTTCAGCGGCAAACTATATGTCGCTATTTTCAGTAACAGAGTCTAGCGACAAGAGCAAGGTAGGGAGTTCTTGGAGGGAGGGAACCGAGGGTCTATCGGAAACAGCCTCTCTATCCCAGGGTAGGGGTAAGGTCTGCGTACAAACTACCCTCCCCAGACCCCACTAGTGGGATTATACTGAGTTGTTGTTGTTGTAGTCTAGCGACCTACCTTAAATCTATTTGTGGTGCATTTCTGAAATTTTTGTGGCGAATTTAGTCGCCAAAAAAGCTAATAATAATACGAATTAGCTTTTGTGGCGACTTGGCTTGCCCATAAAAAGTAAACATAAGTCAATACTCAAAACGGCAACGTTACTCGGCACTTCTTTTGGTGGTGACTAAAGAGATCGCCACAGAAAGTCGTCACTGAAAATCTTATCTCATGTGAGTGTCGAATTGGAGAGAGACATCGGTTTCAGGCAACTTCAGTTCCTTTACACAATTTTGGAGATAGATTCTTCCAAAATTTATACTACTTCTCTATTCATTTCTAAAGTTTCTCTACTATAGCTTCCAGCCTTGAAGTTACATTCTGTTGTGGAACTAAAGATTCGTATCTGAAATAGAAGGAATTCAGAGGGTATATTACTTATCTAAGATATCATACCGTACTCATCTATGGGGGCATCATAGTCATAGCTTGTTGCTACTAGAGGGCCTCCTGCTGTTCGACCAAAATTGGTGCCACCAAAATACTAGTAAATGAAAAAGATTGCAGCATTAAATCTCAAAAGCAACAAGAGTGATTAACAACCACCTGTAGAAAATTAACAGGCTTTTACCATGTAATAATTTTGAAAAGTACCACCAGTTTCAAAAAAGCGTGCAACAGCAAAAGCTAAGTCTTCAACAGGGCGATAAGGAACAGCATAACCAAATGCAAGGAACCTACAAAAGGAAACACACCTTGAAATTTTCAAAATTTAAGTAATGAAGAAAAAAACCATACCAGGAATCAGAGTTCCGTGAGAATAATAAAAAGGAGGCAGCATTTACCATCCGACGTAGTTCTCCGTCCACATCTTTGGCTTCGATGGAGAATTTGGAGTGAACCGATCACAATAGAATCCATTACATGTATTTATCTGCATAATCAACATGTTTGTAGTTATCTCTTTGAATTATAATTGTCCTTCTTTTGACTGTTGGTTTAAGAAACAAAACTATTAATAGTAACATCAGCAGGAAGTTACTCTCAGTTTTTTATTTATGCAGAACTAACATCAGCAGGAAATATAGTTCAAAAAGGGTCCTGAGATGCCTCATTTTTGTAGCATATAACATCTATTCTAAACAGCTGTTTAGGAAAATCCTACTAATAGCTAACAAATTTGCTTCTGTTACACTGCAAATAATAGAGATCGTGGAGGAAGGGACAGTAAGGTAACAGGTGGAATATGCCACTATGAATACCATAAACACTTACAACTGAATCGGGTGCATCTTGTTGCGCGCACATCACCCAAGGGACAGTCGTATTAAGACTAACAGCAGTTTCTGCAGCCCATTTCACATAAAGTTTTCCGCTGACTCCATATGCCCACTCAACATTTCCATACTCATTTTCTACCTGTTAAGTGGATAGGATCACCAATTAACACAAAAAGAGCAAGAAAAAGAGGAAGGTGCACTATCAAAGTAATAAGAATGTACTATCCAAGAAGAAGATCTAATATACCACAATCCATTATCACAAAATTGGAAAAGAGTGTGATACATTTAAAGTAATAAGAAGAGGTTACATGGTGAACCATCCAAATTAACGAGAAAAAGTAAACAACCTGAGCAAGAATAATTGGACCTCCTTGTGTAGCAAAGAGGTTCTCATCCTTCATAAGATTAACAATCTTGGCAAGAAAGAGCTTCATTTCACTCTGCATTGGAAACAATACAGGTTTTTTCAATTAATAAACATTCAATAGGATCAAATAATCGGAAAAAATGGTATCTTTAGAAAATAGTTCTCCAAAGCAAAAACATGATTACTGGTCAACACTTGCCATAAAAAGTTCATTTGTTGTCCGAAACTGGATTCCGGGGATAAAATGTAGCCACATTGGGAAACCCCTGTACAGAGAAAAAATTGAAGATATTAAACAAATAAGTAAAGACACTGTTAGGATGTAGACGATAAAAATAAGAAAATGACTTGTGCTTAATCCATTGGAAAGATGAGCCACTGCCTCTTTTCAATATATGGAAAACTTTGCCATGAAGTGTCCAAATAATTTGATGAAATTGAATCTGACAACTTTAGAGAATAATAGGTTTTTAGCTATTATCGCTGTTCAATGAACCAGGAAAAAGAAAGTCTGGTGTGATGAAATACAGACCCATAGTTCCATTCAGCACAGGCATATGGTCCAATTCTCAGATGCACATAGAGACCAGCTTCTTGCGCTGTCTTCACAAACCGTACAAGGTCAAACCTGCCCTCAAAGTAGTACTGCAATAGTAGAAAGTGGTAATTACATGTAGAGATAATGCGAAAGGAGAAATCTTTAATTGTGGTAATACATGACGAGTCGCGAGACTACATGTCTAACAAACAACTGCGTTACCCCAAATGAGGTAAAAAAAAACTTTATATAAGAGTTACTAGATTGATAGATATTCTGAATTAAAAGATCAGAAAGTAAATGTCTTGAACTATGAAGAAGCACCAGATCAAACCAAGTCTTCAGGTCCAAAATCACTTCTGTAAGAAAACGAACACAGTCTGAAATCATGCGAAGATGAATAAGACCATACATGCTATAGCACATAATTGTAGCAATATATGCCACACGCTAGCAATTGCAGCAATACGGAAAGAGCAAACAGCATAAACCAAGAAATTTTATAAACACAGTGACAGTTTATGCATCAGAAAACTTTTTCTAGCTATTTAAAGAGTTCTTTGTAGTAAAATGTTGAAATAAAACCGAAGTGTATTAAACACCAACTAGTGAGCATCATAAGGGAAAGCAATCAGACTTGCAGTTAACACTTCAGTACAATCCATTCTCTCAATAATGACAAATTTCACTTAATTTCATTGAGTTTAACTTGTATACACCGCAAGTATAAAATTTACAAATTTAGGTCACCTAAGAAATAATTACTGGTAGTTAAAAACCGGGACTTGTAACCTGAAAAATAAGGCAGAGGACATGTTTCAACAGGTTAAAATACAATGATAGTATAAAAACTTTTATACTATCAGTGCATATAAGTTAAATCCATCGTTATTTACCAAAAGAGAAAAGAGTTCATACCTCTCCTTTGACAGGTTCATGATAATTCCAGAAAACATAAGTCTCTATCACGTCCAATCCTCCTTCCTTAGCCTTTCTAAAGATCTCTGGCCATATCTATTTTCAACCAGAAAACTCCTTCTTAGTCCATATTACATATTGTCAAATCGAAAATCAAGGAAGAAAAAATGCACCACATTGCCATATACTAATGCTAGCATAATGTAAGAAGAAAATACTCACTTCAGGTGTAGTTCTTGGATAATGTATTGACCCTGATTGCAAAATTCTCCTCTTTCCATTAATGACCAATGCCTTATGATCATATGTTACTGTCGTTGAAGTCCCTCTTTCAAAATAATAGCCATAAAAAACTAAAACCATAAACAAAACTAATAGTAACAACTTCTTTCTTTCCATAATTCAGCTGGATGGTTACAAACAAGAATATAATTAGAGCACTGACTTTATAACATCCAATGATAATTTTTGGACCAATAATTGTTGTAAGGATGATATTGTCCTTAGTAGGTGTTGATACTGAAAATGGTGAATATATTACTTTATTTTCTCCCCAGATTTTGGACTTTAACTTTGGATTCATTGAGGTGATAACTATGTACCAAGATTGGATTCAAGTGATGTCCCTAGTACTGATAAAGTCACCAGTATATTTCAAGAGCTAGACTACAAAATATAAAACAAGAGAAATGTCAAAATGGGGGACCAAATATATATAGTAGATATTGTACATTGTAAAACAACACTGCACTCTTACACATTATAATAGGATACTTACCATTTTTTCAAGTTACTAATTAGTGTTTATTATATTGTCGCACGGACAAATTGTATGAGACGGGCTAAGCTAAATGATAAATAAGAGAACAACAAGTAGAAGGATGAAATAATTTGATGCTAAAATCTAACATTAGATAATTTAAATTCTTTTTACGAGCAATTTACGGTAACATGTTATAATAATTCTTTACGGTATCAATTTATTTAAGTTAATCCAATGTAAATACAAAGTAAAAGCTACAACAAAATAGAACCAACACATGTTTGAACGTGAACTTGAAAATTTTTATAAGAGAAAATTATTAGTATTTGAAATATTCCTTTAATTTTTAATCAAAATTATAGTTATATTTATTCAACATTTGAAATACTATTCTAACACAAAAAGAAACATTTGCAATACTTAAATAATATCTGATGTCAAGTGGTCGAGTAGATTGAAAAATCTGAGACGACTAAATGAAGTAGGCAGTAAATTAGAAAGCAGATGACATAATAATAGATTCACAATTTTCCAGCTCTTACGGCTTACTCATCAAACAGTCGAAAGAATTTGTTGTCTCTAATCTTGATTGATTCACTGTAAGTCCAAAAATGCCCCAGAAGGCAGAAGCGCATTTTTTTTAATAATTCTTAACGCTTATCTTCCCGTTTATTTGAACAGGTTTATACCGTTTTCTGGATCTTGATTTTTCTATCACTTTCTTGTTAAATTTCTGGTGATTTAGAAGTCAAAAGGATATTGGTATTAAGGGGTTTCAGATTTTCGTATTGTACAATTTTCTTGATTGTTTAATTTTCAGCTTTTGCTATGTATTGATTTGGGTTTTTTTTTTGTTTTCAGTTAAAACCATTTCATTTTGATTTCTGAAAAGCAAAATCCTTTTTTTTAACTAAAATTCAGCTTTGGTTTTTTATAATATGGCCCTTAATATAAATATCAAGCTTAGGTTTTCTCAAATGTGATACTTAATTTGTTAAAGAGTTGTGTATGTTAATAAAGTTGATAATTCAGTTTGTGGTTCTTCCTAGTATGGCCTTGAACTGGCTACATTGAGAATAGCTCTAGTTGAAAAATGTTCTAACATATAATTGAAAAATTGGTGCACAGCTGACAGCAGTATAAAGATTTTGAGAGTTTGGTAATTTGATTTGCAGGTGGAGCTGTGTGTTCTTGCAAGGCTTGGTAAAATATGGACTTTGCTAGTATGGATAGTGCACAGCTGACTATGGTGGGATCTGGGTTTTCTGCTTTGCTTTCAATGCATTTCACGATACAGCTCTTGTCACAACACCTCTTCTACTGGAAAAATCCAAAGGAGCAAAAGGCAATAATCATGATTATAATTATGGCTCCCCTCTATGCCATTGACTCGTTCGTGGGGTTGTTAGATATTCGTGGAAGCAAAGCATTTTTCATGCTTCTAGACTCGGTTAAAGAATGCTACGAGGCTGTGGTAAGTGGCTACTATTGTGTCATTGACATGCTTCTGTTAATGGAGCATATACTGTTTAGCAGTTTGCTTTCTAATTTTTTGTCAAAAATATTCGAGTTTCTTTTCTAGCATTAATGTTGTTTAATTTGCAGGCAATTGCCAAATTTTTGGCCTTGATGTATAGTTATTTGAATATATCCATCAGCAAAAACATTGTGCCAGATGAAATCAAAGGGAGGGAAATTCATCATTCATTTCCAATGACTCTATTTCAGGTATGATTATGCTTATGTTTTAGCTTTCCTCTTCATGTGTGCTAGATGATAATGCATTTATGTATTTATAACTGATAACCAGTGTGCTTGGATCTAGCCACTATTGCACTTCCCTCCGTATTATTGTTTCTGTATAAAAAAGTCATTATGAAGAATTTTAGGG